CTTTGAGTTTGCTCATCTGATCCAATCAAAAATAAAATCTTAGCTCCATCCTCACCCCAGTCAGAAATCTTGGGCTCCCTGAGGCTGATGTGCTCCACCACACAGCTGACCCTGTCCTGTTGGCCAGGTGTGAACTCCAGGAAAGAGTGGACATGGTAGGTCCAGTCTCCGTTTGTCATCACCTCGGTTGAGGTCACGCCTGAAGTCACTTCCTGTCCGTTGCTGTGCCATGTCACCCTGATATGTTTGGGGTAGAAATCGTAAGCGCTGCACACCAGCATGGTGTCGTGACTGGAGGTGGTGGTCTCTGTAAGAGTGATGTTGGGTTCAGCTGAAATCAGAAGGTGAAGAGTTTTTACTGAAAGATGGCCGCCATCTTTGAGCCAACAAGGTGGATGGATCTGCACTTTACATCTTGGTGAAAAGTGAGTGTGTATGATTTAAAGAGACACAGACATCACTCACCCATGTTCTCCTCCGTTACATTCAGTAACAAACCAATATGGTTGACACATATCAGCCGCCTCTCTGATTTCCTCCCCACAACATTGTGCTTGTCTTTATTAAACTTTGATGCAAAGATTAATCCAGCTGGAGTAAAGCCTGTCCAGTTCCCAACTGTGCTGTTGTACTGCATCATAAACTCTTCATTAAAATAATAGTCGATGAGATACTCCACCTGCTCCGGCTCTCTGGTGTACCAGGCACACCAGAAGTCGGCGTACATGAAGTATCCTTTTCCATCAGCAGCACAATCTGAAAGGAGAAGGCACAAGACTTACTCTTTTCTTAAACACTAAATGTGCAGGTCCATCAGTATTAATGACAGCATTCCTCATTTCCTGAATTCCTTTTCATCAAATTGTTTAAGCTCTTACCAATCAGATTACAAGATATTGGCAAGATGTTGTTCTCCCTGTCGGCCCACCACTTTGATTCAGACTGAAACATCTTAGTAACTATTGTAATGGACTGCCATGATATTTTGTACAGACAGAAGGAATGATTAAGCCACAACAGAATGTCTGCATTACAGATACATTAATATTTTTAATCCGTCAACATGGAGGCAGCCCCACTGTGGTGCACAGCGCTTGTCTGCCTGACAACCTGCTGTTCGGACCTGGCGGCATGTGCCTAATCTCCCCGGCCCGATTGTACCTCTCCACTGTGCTTGTTTTGGCTGCATACTTTGTTCTGGTGTGCCTGCTTTGCAAGCTAGATCACAACCATCTGCTGTTATTTTGCCTCCTCTCCCTGAGTACCAAACTGCTACCGTGGATTATACACCATCATGGAGGCGGCCACATCGGGATGCACGGTGCCTTCCTGCGAGCTAATCTGCTGTTTAGAACTGGTGGCGTGTGTTCAGGTTGACCTTCATAGTGTACCTCTGCACGGCCACTACCAGCACTCTTTTTTATGAAGTCACTCTTGTATGCTCTAGCAGTTGGTGTTGCACTGTCCTGGCTCACATCCTGTCTCACTGACAGACTATAGTTTGTTCAACTAAGTAAACACAAGTCAAGGTGTTCTGCTGTTTCACTGGGTGTCCCCCAGGGGTCAGTATTGGATCCACTTTTAATCATCATCTACCTTATTCCCTGGGCACAATCCTCCATTACCATGGTGTTCATTTCCGTTGCTACGCAGATGGCACAAAGGTCTACATCTAATCTAAACCTTCCACTGCCCTTTCTCCCACCTCCCTCACCAGCTGCCTTGGGGACATCAAGAGTTGGATGAGCAGGAACTTTCTGAAACTCAACAGCAGCAAAACTGAGGCCCTGCTCATTGGCTCCAAAAACACCCTATCCAAACTCCAAAGCACCCAAGTCCCACACATCATCACTGATAACTTCCCTGTACCCTTCTCCAGCTAGGTCAAGAGCCTCTGTGTCATTCTGGACAGCACTCTTTCATTTGAACTCCACATGAAAAACATTACCTGGACAGCTTTGTTCCACCTTGGCAGCATTTCCAGACTCTACCCATCACTGTCCCAGTCCAGCACTGAAGTCTTGGTCCACACAGTTGTTACATCCTGTATTGACGACTGCAAGGCAGTTCTCTCTGGCCTTCCCACCAAACTCATTAACAGAATTCAAATCGTTCAAAACTCATCTGCCGGGATCATTACCTGCACCAAATCATCCGACCACATCACCTCCATTCTCATCCAGCTACACTGGCTCCCTGTTCAGTACCAGACTGACAACAAAAACCTTCTGCTAACTGCGTATAAAAACTGCCTCAGACAATCAGGTTGCACATCGTCTATCTAAAAACATTTGACTTTCAGGGATACCAATGTCAATATTTTAACCCCAACATGCTGTGTGGCCCTAAAACATCAAATAATGAACAACAGTAGAATTACTCACCGACCACAGACCGAGAGAAAAGATACAGAAACAGCAGGAACGTGAAACATTTCATGTTGAAGACAGTTAGACCAGAGTGTTGTGGATTCTCGACCAGCGCTGTGCAGTTCGTGAGTGATTCTTTCCTTTTGAGATCAGTTACTGAAACTACTGAACATGATTCTTTAAAAACAAACTGTACAGTCCAACATGAAACCAAACACTGCCCATAAAACGCAAGTATCATTCCTCAGCCGACTCCTCTTTTCCTTTTTTCAAACCCCCCACAGACGCCTGACTCGACTATGTTTTTGTTTTTCAGCTTTCTTTCTCTTTTCCTAATGTCAGTGTTTATTTTTAAGTTTTCTTTCATTCCCAAGCAGACACCATTATTAACTCATAGAAATGACAAAGACACATCATGTATAAAGACACAGATAAAAATCAGTTTAAGGCCTTGTCCACTTGGAAAGGTTTAATAATAGCTTTTTCCATGCGGTACATTCACACGCAAACTGCATTTTAGGTTCAGAGAAGAGAAGTCCAGAGTGCTCAGAAGTCAGAACAACCGTGATGAGGGTGCTCTTTTGCAGGGGACCCAAAAATACAAAAAAGAAAAAAATCCAAGGCACTCCTCTAGCAAAAAATGTAAAAAGCCTTCATTCATTCAGATAGCTATTTCATGATGAAATGTAAAACACACTTAGCCTACATATTAAAAATGGAGCTGGGATACAACCCACGCCTAGCTGCACAAACAGCCCTTTTCAGGATGTAAACCCTGAAGAACCTATAACCCTGTGTTTTAGGTTGTTGAAAATGAATCATTTGTAAAACTCTGTTAAGAGAGAAGTCTGTTGTCAGTGTTGACGTGTAGACAGGGTAAACCTACAGGTTATTTATTTGTTTTTGTCTGACAGAAGTGTTTATTGAGTCTGCTGTGGTGGTTGTACCTTGAAATGGTCAGCATTAATGACACCACGCAGAGCGTAGCTTTTGAACGACAGGTCATATGAGTAAACCTAAGGAGGTCCAGGTTGGAAATATCCAGAAGGACTGGCTGATTTAACAGGTTTTCTATCAGATTACAGAGCGTCTCCTCCTGTAGTGGATCAGTCCTGAGGACAGAATCACTGCTCCCAACAGCAGAGCAACAACTCCACCAATCACGAAGCTCCTCTCAGACTGATTAAAGGAAGAGTCTGCAACAAAATGACAAGAGAAAAATCTGTTATATATGTGCAGAATACACAATGCCTGTTAATGACAAAATAATGCTGTACTGAACATAAAAAGGAAGCAGTATTGTTCCAGAACAAGTTAAAGGGGAACTCTGGTATTTTTCAGCTTGGATGAATAGGGTCCAGGTTGAGGAGTTCCTTTGAGTTTGCTCATCTGATCCAATCAAAAATAAAATCTCAGCTCCATCCTCACCCCAGTCAGAAATCTTGGGCTCCCTGAGGCTGATGTGCTCCACCACACAGCTGACCCTGTCCTGTTGGCCAGGTGTGAACTCCAGGAAAGAGTGGACATGGTAGGTCCAGTCTCCGTTTGTCATCACCTCGGTTGAGGTCACGCCTGAAGTCACTTCCTGTCCGTTGTTGTGCCATGTCACCTTGATATGTTTGGGGTAGAAATCGTAAGCGCTGCACACCAGCATGGTGTCGTGACTGGAGGTGGTGGTCTCTGTAAGAGTGATGTTGGGTTCAGCTGAAATCAGAAGGTGAAGAGTTTTTACTGAAAGATGGCCGCCATCTTTGAGCCAACAGCATGTGTGTCTACTGTTTGCGGAGTGTTTACTTTGAACATTTCTGACATGTTTAATCAGTATTTTGTGGTTGTTGGGCATTTCAGTCAAAGATTTATATGATGGAATCATCAAATTAACAACTGAGTAACAAATCTCTTTGCTCCTTTTGCTCCCATGGATGCACTGAGCATGATAAATAATACTTGAGACTTTCGCCAGCCCAGAGGCTAACTTCCAGTTTAGCGCTTTGCTAACTTGAATTGGGATAAATGATTTAATTGTGCGACTCGTCTAGACTTTTGAAATGTTATTCGGACCGAATGACTTAAATCTAGTTATTTTGTGGGGGTTGTGTTGCTCAAAAAACGTATCCACTGATTAACAGACATCATGTTCACAATGTAAGTCTACAGGAAACAGTATATTTTGGCCCCATGACATCACGTGACAGACCTGGAAGTTGTAATTCAACAGTTTGGCCACTATATCAAATTGGTTTCATAGCCCACTGCTGTTTTGCAGGCTTGGGTGCCACTGCAGAAAAGGGCACAATGTTGTGACGTAATTAAACGAGAGCCAGTCAAGATTTTGTCCAAAACAAAAATTTGCATTTTCACTCAGATTTTAATGTACAAATTGAAAATCCGTAGAAAAAATGGTGGATGGATCTGCACTTTATATTTTGGTGTCGTGACAGTGAGGTTGCCGGGTTTGGTACCACCATGCTTGCCAAGCCTGGCATTTTATGAAGAAATAGCACAGATTGTCTTAAACCACAAGATGATGTTTTTGCAGTTCTGTCTGTGTATGATTTAAAGAGACACACATATCACTCACCCATGTTCTCCTCCGTTGCAATCAATAACAAATCAGTATGGTCGACACATATCAGCTTCCTTTCCAATATCCTCCCCCGAAGGTCTTTATTAAATGTTTGAGTAAAGATTAATCCAGCTGGAGTAAAGCCTGTCCAGTTCCCGACTGTGCTGTTGTACTGCATCGTAAACTCATCATTGAAATAATAGTCGATGAGATATTCTACCTGCTCCGGCTCTCTGGTGTACCTGGCACACCAGAAGTCGGCATACACAAAGTATCCCTTTCCATCAGCAGCACAATCTGAAAGGAGAAGGCACAAGACTTACTCTTTTATTAATATTCAATAATGATAGTTTTTAATGTGCAGATACAGTAGGTCCATCAGTATTAATGATGGCATGAACAAACTTTTCTTTAGTCGGTTAGTAGCAGTTTGTTTCAAAAGATGCACTCAATGCTACCCGGTCGACCCACTACTCTCACCTCATCCACTCTGGCTCCAACAACCCCAAGGCTCTGTTCTCCACCATGAACTCCCTCCTCAAACCACATGACACCTCCTCATCATTCACCACTGAAAAGTGCCAATCCTTCTTAACATACTTCCAAACAAAAATAAACACCATCTACAGTAACCTCAACACCTCCAGGATCCCTCCCATCTCCCCACCTGCCTCACCACCCATCACCATTCAGCCCCTGTCCCACTTCTCTCCAGTATCCCCAGCACAGTTAACAACCATCATGACCGGAATGAAAACCTCCACCTGCACTCTGGATTGCATACCATCCAAACTCATTAAGGACTGCCTCCCTGCCATCTCTGACAATCCAAGTAACTTCCGCCCCATCTCCAATCTCCCCTTCCTGTCAAAAATCCTGGAACGTGCTGTCGCCTCACAACTCAGAACCCACCTCACCTCCAATAACCTGTTTGAATCTTTCCAATCTGGTTTCGGTTCAAAACATAGCACTGAAACAGCCCTCCTGAAAGTCACCAACGACCTCTCCTTAGACTCCGGACACCTCAACATTCTCATCCTCCTTGACCTCACAGCAGCCTTTTGACACCATCAATCACTCCATCCTGCTCTCCCAACTGGAATCATCTCTCCACATCACCGGTACAGCACTCTCCTGGATTCATTCCTACCTCACCAACCGACACCAGTTTCAGTATAAACAACTGCACCTCCTCCACCGCTCCCCTGTCCCAAGGTGTCCCCCAGGGGTCTGTGCTTGGTCCCCTCATGTTCATCCTCTACATGCTCCCCCTTGGCAAGATCATCCGTTGTCACAGCCTCCAGTTCCACTGCTACGCCGACGACATCCAACTGTACATCTCCACCAAAGCCATCACCAACACCACCCACTCCACACTCACCAACTATCTCACTGAAATAAAATCATGGATGCAAACAAACTATCTCCAACTGAACAGTGACAAATTGGACATAATCATCACTGACCCCACATCCCGCACCAAAGCCACCCACAACCTCTGCCTCACCTTCGATAACTGCACTCTGTTTCCCTCACCATACACCCACAACCTAGGAATCATCTTCAACAGCCAGCTAAGGTTTGACCCACATCAATCACATCACCAGGACTGCCTTCTTCCACCTCAAGAACATCGCCCGTCTCCACCCCTCATTCACCTTCTCTGCTGCAGAAACCCTCATCCATGCATTTATCACATCCAGACTGGACTATTGCAATAGCATCCTCTACGGCTCATCATTCAAACTCCTCACTAAACTTCAATACATCCAGAGCTCCGCTGCCCGCCTTCTCACCCACACCCGCTCCCGAGACCACATCACCCCCATCCTCCAAAACCTACACTGGCTCCCCATCACACATCGCATACAGTTCAAAATCCTCCTCCTCACACACAAAGCACTCAACGACCAGGCCCCCTCCTACCTCATACACCTACTCCACCACCACACCCCCTCCCGTGACCTCCGCTCATCCGATGGAGATCTCTTCTTACCACCTGGAACTCACTACCCAAACCCATCTGTGTCTGGACACACCTCCCAACATTCAAGACCATGCTCAAAACACACCTTTTTAAATTAGTTTTCAGTGTATAAGTTTGTGTGTTTTATACTGTTTTGTAGTAATTTAGATATGGACGAACTGGTGAACAGTACAGAATGTGGAGTGACTTGTGATCCAGGACCTGCTTTGCTTATTTAACTTTTTGATACTTTGGTTTGTACGTGCTCAGTATGTGATTTCCAATAGATTTGATCGTCAACTGTCACCCCAAGGAATTCAATTTCATCAACTCTTTCAATAGTAAACCCATCCAAATGAATATTTATCCATGTATTAGTTCTGCAGTTCCCAAAAAGTATTTGTCCTGTTTTGTTCAGGTTTAATGATCATTTATTTCTATCAAACCATATTTTCAATTTAATCAGTTCTGACTTGATCACCTGCATCAAAACATGCAAATCACTGCCAGAGCAAAAAAAGAAAAAAAAAACTATTATCATCAGAAAATACTATTGCTTTTTATATGTTGCTTAAATCATTAATGTAAAGAATAAACAATTAGGGGCCCAACACTGACCCCTGGGGGACACCACAAGTAATGTCCAGACATGTTGGACAAACTGCTTTCTGTTAGACTAATAACTCCGCACCCAATCTAACGCTTTCCCCCTGGTGCCATACCATTCTAGTTTATTGAATAATATAACATGGTTTAATAATAATATATCATGGTTAATTGTGTTAAAAGCCTTTTTATTTATGTCCATGAATATTCCAACTGAATACAGGTTTTGGTCTGGTGAATCTGTGATTTCCTCAAATTAATCTATTAATGCCAGTGATGTTGCTCTGTTTGATCTGAATCCATGTTGACTTGCAGTGAGTAATTTGTGTTTGTCTATGAATTTATCCAGCCAGTTACTGAAAAGCTTTTCTAGGATTTTGGAGAATTGAGGTAGTCATGAAAGAAGGTCTGTAGTTTGTGAAGTGGTATTTGTTCTCAGATTGCTTAAGTAGTATAAAAATCAAAGTGTGACTCTAGTTTTTCCTCATTTCCCAAACTCCTTCTCATCAAATAGTTTAAGCTCTTACCTATCGGATTACAAGTTATTGGCAAGATATTGTTCTTCCCGTCGGCCCACCGCTTTGAATCAGACTGAAACATCTCAGTAACTATTGTAATGGACTGCCATGATATTTTGTACAGACAGAAGGAATAATTACACGAGGCAAAACCTGTCTCCAAGTTTTTATGGGCACCTGATATTGTTTTAAGACAGACTTAAAAAATAGTAAATGGCCTTTAAAACAGT